TTCTTATTTTTAGTTATTTTTAATTAATTATTATTTTATTTATTTTTATATTTCTTCTTTTCTTTTATTTTATTTTCTTTTAAATAAAAAGATCTTCCACTTGACACTCATCACTTTAAAATTTGCTACAACTTGATAGTTTTTAGTAAATTTTATTACAATACTACTAGTTTTATCTAGTAATAAGTATTTATCAATAATTAATATTTTTTTTATTTATTAAAAATATTTAATTTAGTATTAGTATATTCTTTTTTTATAAAAAATATAAAAATAAAAAAAATTGTTTTTGATATAATAGTAATAGTATATTATATAAAAAAACTATATTTAATTTTAGTAATTAATTTAATTATTATTATTAAGAATCTTCAAAAAGAACATTGGTACAAAAATATATTTATAAGTTATTGTAAGTTAAGAAAATAATAAATAATATTATAATATATACAAAAATTAATCTTATTAATAGGTAAAAAATTACAAATCATTTATCCAATCATATTACAATTCAATTATTAAAAAATAATAGATTTTCAGATTTTAATTTACAATTGTTTTTAAAATATTGATTATATAAAATTCTTGCAAATTATTGCAAACTTAGTAATGCTCAATAAATTTTAAACTCTGTAATATTAATTCTTTTTTTATCAAATGAATTAGATTTAGAGAAATATGATTATTCTAAATATATTCTTAAAGAAAATATTAATGATATAAAGCAAGATAAATTTGTATATAATAATTTTAAATACTTCAAATCTAATATTTTTTTATTAAATACAATTTTAAACTATATAATTATTACTTTTATTTATATATTTTATATTTTTTTCAGATTATAAAATTGAAATTTCTGAAGTACAAGTATTTAAAATTTCTAAAATACAAGCTATTCAAATTTCTAAAACACAAGCAACTCCAGTTCTTATAGTACAAGCAATTCAAGTTCTTATAGTAGAATTAATTGAAGTTCCTAAATACAAGCAACTTAAATTTTTATAATACAAGTAACTAAAGTTTCTATAATATATACAATTAAAGTTCTTATATTATAATTTATAATATAAGCAATTGAAGTTTCTATAGCAATTTAAGGTTTATCTTAAATTTAAAATTAAAATATACTTGAAACTTCATAATTTTCTGAATTAAAGTCTTATATTTAAACTTGTTCTTATTCTTTTATAAAAACCTTTATTTGCAATTAATAATATTATTATTCAACTTTTTTTAGATACCTATTTACAAAGTTATATTTTAAAAATAAATTTAAAAATTTAATTAAATTTTTTAAATATAATTATTTTTAGATTTTTATTATTTTGTGCATATGCATTATAACACACCTATAGGATCAGATATAATGTGAAATCAAAACAAATCAATTAGTATATTAATTTAGAGTAAGGGCTAGTATTAAGATAGGTCAGAATTAAGTAATAATAAAAATAATTTTAATATCAAAATTTTACAAGAAATTTTTTTTATTAAAATGTAAAAAGTGTTTTCATAAGCAAAATTTTGAGCTACAAGCAATTTTTAGAAAAATCGGAATTTTTTTTTTGATTTCATATTACATCTGATCTTATAATCTAATTAGTTGATCAAATGGATGTATTACAATGCACATGTGCTAAATTACATAAATCTTATTGTTATTATTAAATACAAATTAATAAATACTTTGCTTTATAAACACAATACTTTTAACAAAGTAATTAAAATTTAAGTATTTTAAATAAAAAATGATCAAAAATTGAATTATCATATAATTAAAAAACAATTAAATAATATATACAAAAAATATTTAGTGTGTATATAAAATATATTAGATAATTAATATTATTACTTAAATTATATAATTTATTGCTTAGATTATATAATTTATTGTTTAAATTATATTATTTATTGCTTGAGTTATATAATTTATTGCTTGAATATATAATTTTAAATTTTTAAAAAATTTACTAATTAAAAAATAACCTAGATTCAAAAATAACTAAAGTCAATTTGTATTTAATACAAATATATATTTTTAATTAAATATTTCTTTTTATATATATTATTAATTTTTTTTTTTTGGTATTAAGGTGACCTCTTTGGTCTTTTAACTTTTATTAATCACTTATTGGTATTGTGGTTCAAT